GGGTTAGAGGTAGTGAGTTTGGGTTGCTTTTATGAGTAGGTTTGGGTTGTGTTGTGGGTTGAAATGGAGAAGATGAGCTATTGTAGGTAGAGTTGTGAGGAGGGGTGTATTGGGCTTGTTGTTTGTGGACTGCAACTTTTGATTGCTATAGGTTTGCTGATTAGGATTTGTTGGGTTTGAGCTGGTGCTTGAGATATTGGGCTGTGTTGTGCTGTTGGGTTGTTGGGCCTTGGATAACAGATGGCTTAGGCTGTGAGAAGGTGTGGGCTGCTATTTTTGACAGAGAAAAGCACGTAGATGAGGGTTGATGCTAGAGTGGGATGGTATGACTATACACAAGTCGCAAGAGACGAAGTAGCAACTACTATGAGTACGAGGTTGAAGTGCTTGCCGATTGGTGTAGAGTAGGGAGATCTGAATGTTTTGCATGTGGTTAGAATAGGGAACAAACGGCCGGGGTTCGACTGTTCTGTGCGTGAACCGACAGGGAGTTTATAGCTGCTGTCCAATGTCTAAAGTTTCACGCGAGAAAGTTTGTGTGAGGAGGCGATAGGGTTGACTATGGAGGGAGGATCGCAGGTGTGGCTCGGTTGAAAGGAGATCGGCATGTGGATAAAGTAGTTGGATCTTCCGATTGGGTGGTAAGGAGGTCATGCAGTTCAAAACGGGTTCTAGATTGGCAAGGTAGGTCGTTCAATCAGAATTTTGCGCATCTTGAAATTCGTGTGTCGATCCCTTGATTTACATGTGTTTTCTCAGAATTCGAGTATTTTGCATTGGGATGCGCTCTGATTTTCTCGTGTGACTTTCTTTGAACAAATTTATAGTCATTTTTTGGTATTATCAATGTTCTGAATGCAATGGTGAAGTCCATTTGGTGATCTGAAGTCATTTGGGCAGTGTCACGCGTCTATTTTTGGTGCCTGTCACCGAATTTGACCCTTTACGCCCAAATTGGCTGCGAGGTATTCCAACTTAAGCGAATTCAACGTTTTGAAACGGTATAGTCCGTTTGGAAATTGGATGTCATTTGACCTTTCAAATGACGTGCCGCGCCCGCTCGCCGTCACTTAAGTTGTTGATTTTCTCTCCTTTCGTGCATCTTGAGTGTGTGGGTCAACATTGTTTCATCTCTATCATGATCTAAGACTTCATCTCTACCCACGATCTAAGGCTTCATCTCATATCTAACTCATCTAGCTTGTTTATGCGAGCTGACATTAACCTTCATCAAAGAGTTCGTTGGCTCTAGCCTGCTGTATTGATTCAAGAGCTCATCATCTTTAATAGCCTGCATACTTCAATACTCTATGTCCTTTGACACCCTACATCCTCCAACACCCTTTTCCCTCAAAAGGATGATAGAGAATTGAACATTAGAGAATTGAACATTAAATCTCCAACAGACAATGGGAACCGTTTGTAGGTGGCAATAAGAGATGTATAAACAACAAATACATGGAGAAAATTGATGGTAAATGCAGCCCGACCAATGATCAAATGACAAATGGTAGAGGATCATAGTAACCTGTATGCAAGTGGCAACGGGAGACACATTGTCAATGTGAAAAATCTCTTGATTGTACAGGAATTGTGTGAGAGGGTTTAATGACATTGCAAGAGACTCATACCACAACCAACATGTCAGTTGAAACCAAAAAGATTTAACATACAGAGAAAACAATGATGTGATACATCGGAATGCATTCAAGTTAGCGTCAATACATTGTATTGCACCTATCGAAATTAATGATCAATGTTTGACAAATGTGTTGTTAAGGATCAATGCAAATCTTGGTGTTCTAAACTCACAAATACAAGCAAAAAGTACACCCGCTACTCCAACTATATCAAGCTATGCAATAATCATTTTAGGAATAAATATCTCGTATATTTCTCCTATACGACCTGATGCGCTTTCAATCGGTACAAAGCCCACTCGAGGCAGTAACTATTGATTTTGCCGTGTAAGACGTCGGCAAGGGCACAATCATCCAAGGTTGAAATGATTGATTCTTTATTTAAGCCAACACCAAAAGATGACGATGATGGTATAATCAAGGAGTTGCCCACTAATTCCTATACGAGTTCTAGGAAGAGAAAGCCAGATCAAATCATTATGGAATGAGTGAATCTCAGTTCAACCAGGTTCTGAACATTGAGTTGGATAAAATTATTGAGGCCTGCAAGTTTCTTGATGAATAGTGGTCGTACATCCAACATATCTTCTACGTACAAATATTAAAGTACTATAACAAACGCAAACTTCTACAAGTCGTCATAGAAAACCGATCAAATGTCCAAAATGCCCCATATATGCACTGTAATATGTATGCACATATGTACACAAAAAGGGGCATGTTTAATTGTATACCTGCATGGACCCCAGTGAGCATATTATAAATACACACATGGCGTCTAGGGATGTTGTGCAGTAGTTCGAGCCCGATTCTTTTTATATGGATAGATAGGAGTCGATACGGCTCGAACTATTAAACAGACATATGGTAAGAGTATCGACTGTATTATTTATTTTAAACATTCATATAAGGTCTTCAACAAAGAAAAATCATCAACATAGGCTATGAAACCTGATCCTCTGTTGACAACTAGACAGAGTCGACAAGGTTCAATCCACAAATAGAAATGATCCCATACCCCGATGATGGACGTATTGAACGTAGATCTCGGTCGGATGGATTAATTCTAAATATTTCAAACAATCAATCATCTACAAAATCCAAACTCCAAAAAATTCAAAATTCAAAATATTTAAAATAGAAATCTAATCATTAACCACTTAAAGTAAAATCCATCCACCCTCCGCAAAAGTTTGCCGATGTGAATAAATTGAAATTTACTTCAGCTGGAGCTAATGCCTAGTCGAAAATATCACAATGATGCATTCTCAAATAATCTCCTTTCAGTAAGGACGTGGTACATGTCCTCTAACCGATGGTTTTGTCGCCAAATGACACCGTAGGATAAATGGTTATGAGCCAGGGCCCTCTGAACCGAATGTTTTTGCCGTGAAATGGCACCACGGGATAACCGTTATGGTCAGACATAATACGCTCCTTATGACATCAAATCCTTGAGATATGAATCAATAAGATATGATCGATAGGGCACAAAGCCCTATGTTAGCTAAGGTGGATTCAAATTTATTCCTTTAGACAAACACCCACTCCAGGTCTACAAGGTACCCTTGGACAAAGCAACTCATGGTTGGCAACAAGGATCCTTCTATCAGGTTGGGTCGACTACCTCCTCTAACTAAGTAGACCAGGGAACACGATGGCCCAGGACGACGGAACCATGGGATCTTGATAGGATCCATCATCCATTCCCCCACTATCCTTTAAGTTCAAGATAGTGAAATTTTTAATTTTAAATATTAAATCTTCAAATTCCCAAATTTCATAAGCTCATGCTGCTACTATATGCCAGATAACACCTATTTTTTATTTATCTGATTGACGACTATCCTTAATCGAAAGTTCTCTCTCTTTATCGGGAGGGGTAATTAACTATAGGGGTTTGCGCCTATAGGAAATCAGAACTCAGATCATAAAATCCTCGTAAAATGAGGACGAAATCTTTGGGTGGTGTCTTATCTACGAATCCATCTGCCTTCCCAAAATTTACCCTAGAACTTAATTCCGTTAAAACTCCCCCGAAGAAAAGCAGCAGGCGGAGGCCGGGGCCAAATTTTTTAAGCCCGCACTCTTAGAACTCATCAATTATGGTTTGTAGCATATCAATGATTTGTTTTCTCTCGACAGTCTTCTCTGGGCTTCCTTCAATGAATTATCATGCAACTTCATGATAATCATATTAGCCAATAATTTAGATGTTTTTGGTGTATGCTCGGGTAAAAAATAATTATTTTGATCATTTTAATTTTAATTATTCATCTTGGAAAGTAATTATGTGGCACATTAATGAGTGATCTATGCTTCTATTAAATTTCTAAAGCCTCAATGGCAAATCAAAGATGTAAGTCATGTCATGAATTTGAGAATCTGTTGATCAAGTGATTGTTTTCAATCAAAGGCCATATAAGATATATAATGATATATTGGAGTATTAATGAATGTTTTAATCAAGTCTATATAGCCAAGGATTTTTAAATAGAATGTGAGATTGTTAGTTTTAGCCATTGAGATCTCTCCATTGATGATTATTTCCTTGGATTATATAATTTATGGGTCGAATTTGTTAACATCATCTGTGCTTATGTACCGATCGAGTCTTTTTTTATAGTTCAAGAGATTCACGGAAAAGCAAAATATTTATTTATTTTTATTAAACTTTATCCTCTATTGAGATTATTCATTTCAATTTAATGAATCATGACCCTTAACCTTCTTTGGATGTGTGCTTTAAAGAATTTCTTTGTGAATAGCAATGTCTTGTGACACAAACCACCTTTCAATAGAATAAGATGTCCAAGAATGCAATTTCTTAACAGCCTACAGTATAGACAAGGAAAGAGATATGCAGCAAGTTCAAAGCTTCATACCGCATTTCATATGAGAAACTTGTTCCACTTATTAGGTTTGGAAGCTTATATTTTTTTCTCTGGTATTTTCCTGCCAAAATAAGTATATAAATGATCTAACTACTTTATTTGGCCTCAAAAAACTTCTCATGCGGCTTCTCCTTGAAACTAAACACAGTATCTTAATGAAGAATGTGATCTTCTTACTAATCCCTTTGTATATCAATAGTTGATAGTCAGCATGAACCATTTGACATTTACTGAACATAATATTTCAATGAAAGTTTAACAAGTCAGTCAATTTATGTAAACTCCTCATCATTTATATTTAGCTATTGTTGATCATACAATAGCTTAGGATGACATTGAGCTATGATTTTTTCTTTCTTATTGATTCTACTAGTTCAACATCTATAACAAACATAAAAACAATAAATGACATGAAGTTTTCCACTGATATTTTCTTCTTACAAACTGTACAAATTATGAACAACAGGATACTGTGATGATGGGTGCTGACTTCTATGAAACAGAAGCTGAAATCGCTTCTCTTCTATCAGAGGATAAGGTTCCCATTGGTGTAGGTGAAAACACTAAGATCAGGTGAGATATAAATAATACTTCTACTAAACAAAATATATCAGATACTGAAATGAAAAAAAAATAATTAAAAAAAAAGTTCAGAATATTCTAACATAAATTTCATCAGTCTTGTCTTAAAAAATTGATGCATTTGTTCTTATGATCAGCTTCATATTTTATTATTTTTTCAAGTATTTTAGAGTAAATATCTTTATTATTTTTTAATTTCTCTAATAAACATCTTAGACTTTATTTGGGACAGCTTTCGTACTACTTCCTAAAACAGCTTTCTAGTATAAAATTTTCTAATTCAAGAAAATTTTGTACTAGAAAACCTTTAGAAAGCAACAAAAAAATTGTCCCAAACGAAGCCTTGATTAAATTTGGATCAAAATATTCTGAATCATTCTAATCAGTTGATTCTCCTTTCATCAGAAACTGCATCATCGATATGAATGCAAGGGTTGGGAAGAATGTGATCATAGAAAACAAAGAGGTATGTAAAAATTACCTAATTCTGATTTTCTCTCCACCAAATGCTTAGATTTTAACTAATGGAAAGAAAATTTATTTGTGCAAATAGGGTGTTAGAGAAGCTAACAGGGAAAGTGAAGGGTACGTTATAAAGGATGGTATCACAATAGTTCTAAAGAACGCAACAATCAAAGATGGGACAATTATATAGAAATGATCCTCTAGAGAAGCTGTCGGAGTAACTTTGTCAAAGATAAGAAGACCAGTAGGCGACGCAGTTGGAAGGTTCTCTGTAAAGTTCAGTGAATAAAATATGGTCAGATGATATGGAACTCAGAATATCTATCAAAGTAGTTCTACTTTGTTCTCATAAACTGCACTGTGTTGGCTTTTTCATGTAGCTTTCAGCTAGCTGTACCTCACAAGCAGCAATAAACTGAGGGTAGCTGTGCCGTTCAGATGTAAATATATTATCTTTAGTTATTATGTGATATATTTTATAATAAAAATTTCAAAATAATCCTCAGACTATTCATGTGTTGCAAATTTAGCTCTAAAATATCACTTTGCTCTGATATAATCTCTTGATTATATATAATTAATTAAAAATGACTTCTCATATTATAATTGTAATATAGAAGTGATCCAATTTAATGCCTCATTTTTTGCTTTCTTATTATTTTGTGAAACAGCATTTTTTATATTTTTTAGTTTAAAAAAATTTTGTACTAAAAAGCTGTTTTAAGAATCATTAAGAAAGTTGTCTCAAATGAAACTTTAGTCTTAAAGGGAATATTTTGGATCATTTTTTTTTATAGTTGAGGTATAAAATTAAAGCTTCTTTTGGGACAGTTTTTTGTTGCTTTTTAAAATAGCCTTTCAGTACAAAATTTTTTTGAATTAAAAAGTTGTGTATTAGAAAGTTGTTTTAGAAGGCAAGAAGAAAACTGTCCTAAATAAAAACTAAGGTTTTGTTTGAGACAGTTTTTTTTATTGCTTCTTAAAACTATTTTTTAGTTTAAAAATAAAAATTTTTATATTAAAAAGTTGTTTTAAGAAGCCATAAGAAAGTCGTCATAAACAAAGCCTAAGGCTTCGATTGGGACAGCTTTTTAATTGTTTTTTAGTTAAAATTTTTAATTTTTATACTAAAAAGCTGCTTTAAGAAACAGTAAGAAAACCGTCCCAAACGAAGCCTAAATCGGACGAACATTTGGGGACTTTTAAAATTTACCCTTTTATACTATATATCTCTGTGGAGGGCAGAAGCATCATATCAGCAACCATAGCATAAGGGCAAATTTTAAATCTGATGTCTTTTTTTTATTATAATTAAAAAATATTTGAGATATGAGTTTCTATTTTTTTTTTTAATGGATAATATTTTTGTTATATCATGATTTTAAAAATTGGATTAGATCGTGAACTAGACAGATGGTGAGTCCAATCCATTTATATATATATATATATATATATATATATATATAAAGTGAGTGCATATAAATAAAGGTAATAATGATCAACGCATATTTTTATATTTAAGTATAATGACATGTAAGCCCTACTGAGTTTTATAACTCTTCTTAAGTTTTTAATTTTTGTATATGATTTTTAGATTAATCTGTAGGACATAAAAGCAATCAAAGATAAATAAAGACTTAGGATGCTTACTATTATATTTTATAAATTATCTTAAGTTAATGCAATATTATACTTTCTTATATTATTAAAACTCTTTATTATACATCTTATATAAACCACTACAATTAAATATTTATGTAGTTATATTTGAGCAAAGGTGGATGACATATTTTACTAAACTTTTTAAAGAAGAATGTGAAAATATGATTGACTTTAGTGACTTTAGCACCCTAAATGGAAATAAATTTTTTAATTTTTATCAGAATATTAGTAAAACCAAAGGTAGAGATGTTTTAAAAAAAATTAAGTGTGAAAAGTTGTTGGACCTGGTGATATTCCAATAGATATGTGGAAATTCTTAGGAGATAAAAGGAATTTCTTGGCTTACTAAACTATTAATATTGTTTTGAAGACTAAAAAGATGTCAAATGAGTGGAGAATGAGTGTGGTAATTCCTATTTTTAAGAATAAAAGTGTTGCACAAGAGTGTACGAATTATAGAGGAATTAAGTTAATGTGTCATACTATGGGAGCAAATTATGGAGCATAGGTTGCGGCGTGATACTAATGTTTCTCAAAATCAATTTGGATTCATGCTGGGTAGGTAGACTATGGAAGTCATACATTTATTAAGAGGTTTGACGGAGAAAAATATAGAGAAAACAAGGAGGATCTACATATGATATTTATTGATTTAGAAAAAGCATATGATAAAATTCCAAGAGAAGTGTTATGGAGAGTAATTGAAAAGAAATGAGTTAATAATGCTTATATTCAAATTATTAAAGATATGTATGCAAGAGCTATTACTTGTTTTCAAACACAAGGTGTTTTGACTAATTATTTCCCTATTTCGGTTGGGTTACATCAAGGATCAACCTTAAGCCCATATCTTTTTGCTTTAGTCATGGATGTTCTTACTAGACATTTGCATGAGGATGTACATTGGTGTATGCTTTTTGCTAATCATATTCTTCTTGTTTATAAGACTAGAGAGGGAGTTGAAGGAAAACTTGAATTATGGAGGTCAACCTTAGAGTCTAAAGGTTTTCGCTTGAGTAGATCTAAAATAGAATATATGGAGTGTAATTTTAGTAGTAATAGACCTAGTGAGGGGATTGTGACTTTGGGCAATCAAGTCCTTAATAAGAGTACACATTTTAGATATCTTGGATCTATTGTTCAGAGTGATGGTGAAATAGATGGGGATATTATCAGCATAATTCAAGTTGGATGGTTGAAGTGGAGGAATGCATCGGGCTTGTTGTGTGATAGAAAATTACCCCTCAAACTTAAGGGAAAATTCTATAAGATGGTGGTGAGGCCTGCAATGCTTTATGGTGCTGAAGATTGGCCATTAAAAGAGAAGCAAAATACTAAGTTAAGTGTGGCAGAGATGAGGATGCTCAGGTGGATGAGTGGCTTTACCCTTTTGTATATGATATGAAATAAGCCTATACGTAAAAAGGTTAGAGTAGCTCCAATAGAATATAAGATTAGAGAGAGTCATCTTAGATGGTTTTGTCACATAAAATGGCAGCCTTCCGATGACCCGGTTAGGAAAGTAGAGTTATTAGATTTGACTTGTGTTAAGAAAGGTAGAGGCAGACCTAAGAAGACTTGGTTAGAAAATATTAAAAATGATCTTTCTTTATTAGATTTAAATTATCGAGAATTTGACTTTTAATAGAACACAATGAAGAATAAAGATTCATGTAGCCGACCCCATGTAGTGGGATAAAGGCTTGATGTTATTGTTGTTGTTGTTGTCATACTTTAAAATTATTGGAGCGAGTTATGGAGCGTAGGTTGCGGCGTGATACTAATGTTTCTCAAAATCAAATCAAATTCATACCGGCTAAGTCTACTATGGAAGCCATACATTTATTGAAAGGTTGGATGGAGAAATATAGAGAGAACAAGGAGGATCTACCTATGATATTTATTGATTTAGAGAAATCATATGAAAAAATTCCAAGAGAAGTGCTATGGAGAGTTCTTGAAAAGAAAGGAGCTAATAACACTTATATTCAAATCATTAAAGATATGTATACATGAGCTATTACTTGTGTTGAACCACAAGGTGGTTTGACCAAGTAATTTTCTTATTTCAGTTGGATTACATCAAGGATCAGCCTTAAGTCCATATCATTTTGCTTTAGTCATCGATGTTCTCACTAGAAATTTGCAAGAGGATGTACCTTGGTGTATGTTTTTTTGTTGATGATATTCTTATTGATAAGACTAGAGAGGGAGTTGAAGGTAAACTTGAATTATGGAGGTCAACCTTAGAGTCTAAAGGTTTTCGCTGAATAGATCTAAAATTGAATATATGGTGTATAATTTTAGTAGCAATAGACCTAGTAAGATGATTGTGACTTTGGACGATCAAGTCATTAATAAGAGTACACATTTTAGATATCTTGGATAGATCGTTCAGAGTGATGGTGAAATATATAGGGATATTATCAGCAGAATTCAAGTTGGATGGTTGAAGTGGAGGAATACATCGGGCTTGTTGTTCGATAGAAAAGTCCCTCTCAAACATAAGGGAAAATTCCATATGATGGTGGTGAGACATGCAATGCTTTATGGTGCCGAATGTTGTCCATTAAAAGAGAAGCATAATACTAAGTTAAGTGTTGCAGAGATGAGGATGCTTAGATGGATGAGTGGCTTTACCCTTAGAGATAGGATACGAAATGAGCATATACGTGAAAAGGTTGGAGTGGCTCCAGTGGAAGATAAGATTAGAGAGAGTCGCCTTAAATTGTTTGGTCACATTAAACGTAGGCCTTTCGATGACCTGATTAGGAAAGTTGAGGTATTAGATTTTACTTATGTTAAGAAAGGTAAAGGTAGACCTAAAAAGACTAGGTTAGAAAATATTAGAAATGATCTTTCTTATTAGATTTGAATGTGAATTTGACTTTTAACAGGACAGAATGGAGAAAAAGGATTCATGTAACCGATACAACGTAGTGGGTCAAAGGCTTGATGTTGTTATTGTTGTTGTTATATATTTGAAAATATTGATAGGACCCAAAATTTTTATTTAATGATTTTGGAATTATAAATAAATATTAGGTATCATTTTGAAAATATTTAGCAGACCAAGACAATTTTGGTATCATATCAACATTTTACATGACATTTAGTATTAGAAAATATTTATGTCATATCACATGACATCTAGAATTATAAAACATTTATGACACTTAGTTTTAGAAATATATATATATGACATATGTGTTCATATATTCAATTAAATATAATCTTGATGATTAGAACACCAATATAATTGACATAATTTATTTATTAGGATATCATAAAATTGACTTAATCTAGTTTTGTTGATGAGAATGGATCCTTCATACAAGAGGATATTCTATGGGAGAGTTTCCATAGTGTAATCCTCTAGAGTTTGAGGAAACAACCAACCCAATAATAGTTGGATATTGGATCCAATGAATGGTGAAAATCTTCAAGAAAGGAGAACTGAGTTAGTTGTATTCATGTTAGAAGAAGAGGCAAATTGTTGATAGGCATCACAAAGAAGAACAAAGTTTATGAGGATAACATCCAATGGGTTGAGTTTGAGCAAGGCTTTTATGATAAAAACTTTCCTAGACAACTTATACATAATAAGGGAGCAGAATTTATGTGGTTTATACAAGGAAACTTACTTTTTCAAGAATACGAGGCAAAGTTTTAGGAGTTATCATGATTTTCTCCTCAAGTGATTCAAAATGAGGAGGATAAAGCAATGAAATTTTTAATTGGATTGAGAGATGGGATTCTTGATCAGATTACACTTCTAGAGTTAAGAATTACGATGATTTAGTATAAAAAGGATTAATTTCTAAAGAATGCCAAGTAGCAAGGTGGGTACATCAATC